AAATATTTAAAAATGTGATACATGTTATTCAGTTAAAGTTACTTACCCCAGATATTAAATATACCGTCATAAAGTAGAATTTTTAAAAATGAAAAAAGAAAACGGTGTTAGGATATTTAGTCTTTGACCACTTTGATTGAATTAGTTGACCGAAATTATCTACTCTTTGACCTTGAAACTCTAAGTGTTTGACCATTTTTTGGAAGTGATACTTTGGTATATTTATTATTTTTCCCTATTATTTTGTTTATCAAAAAATGTTCTATTTGTTCTTTTTAAGATTTAAAAGTTGACAAAAAGAATGATAATAGAAAATAATATTTAAAAACTATTTTTATTCTCAAAAAATGCATGCATGGGTTGACTTTGGTACATTGAACATCTTAGCTGCTTTTTCATAAGATAAACCCCTACTTTTTGCATCGAGGGCCTTTTGAAGATCTTTTTCACTATATTTAAATTAAGGCTTTGTTGACGTAATGGTTCTGAAAAAAAAGGAATCGTGGTTCAAATTCCCTAAGTTTCCTACATATATTTCCAATTTATTAGTAAATGACCCCTATAGGGGCCAGTGTTTGACCAGACATATATTATATTTCTTTTAAAGAGATTATTCCTACTTAAGTGCGGTCAATTACTTTCGTGGTTATGAAGGATGTTTAATAAAACAGAAAAGATACAAACATTTGCATTATGTTTTATATTAGGCTAAAATATTTATAAAACTTGAAGCCTGCTAAAAAACTCAATGTTTGACCAGTTTTTGCCCAATAAATGACCAAAAAAGAACCAGTTATTGACTGAACATTTAAATTGCATGTATCTTATTTATAGAGCATAAAATTTCGGTCGAATACTAAACCATTTAAAGGGGAAGATACAATGAAAAAAAAAATGATATTAAAATTTATTCTATTATAAATCCATCTCCAATAGTTGTGAGGTAATAAATCTCATAATTTCTCCAGTATTTGACCGATTGGTCAAACACTAATTTTTATTCAAATTTAGAGCTACCAGTCTTTGACCGGCTGTATTTTGACAAAAAAATAAATTAAAGCGGTATTTTTTTTGATATAAACAATAGATAACATTTATTAGAACACCGAAAAACAAAAAAAAAATATATAAAAAATGCAAAAAGAGATGAATAATATTACCTTAATTAGGTGAACTTTTTAATTCAAAAATTACACTTCTTAAGACGTCGTGCACAGCCTATGGTTGGAGGTATACTAAACAACAAGTACGACAATCTGGTATGACAAAGCGAAAGTTTTGCATAGTAGGGGGCGGAGAAAAAACTTCAGGCTATTTATGAATAGTTTCATACTCCTTAAGATATTCCTAGAATTCTCATTTTTCACATTTTATCACGAAAACGGTCAAACACTGGCTGATGGTGAATTACTGGCGTTTTATTCTAGTTTGAAATAGGACACCGATGGTGGGAAGTACGTCGGGTGTTGAAATTTAAACAACCTTCCTTCATATCTTTTGAAGGGCTCATGCTAGGCTGTTCAAATTTTCAGGGATTATTAAACGTTAGGTAGAAATACTAATGGATCACGGCCGTGAAAGCCTTCATTCAAATGCCTCTACGAAGAGGAAACACCACGACTTATTCGACGCTTGGAAAACTTACGCAAGGAAAAGGCCCATTCTCTCAGAATTTTCGAACGAGCGGAACAAACCTTGCTTTGGGAACAGATTCACCAAACCAGGAAAGACCTAGTAGCTAATGGACAAGGATCTTCTATCGATTAACCAAAGGTTATCCAACAGCATGCAGTGGAGTGATGACTGGGAAAAAATTGACCTAATGACGTATGACGTGATGGAAGCCACACTAGCAAAAACAACCAAGAAACTGATAAACAAGTTTGAGTTCTTGAAGCCAGTAAACACTACGAAACCCACAGGCAATGATCGCACAGTTGTCAACTTGACCCAACGTGTTCTGACTGATTCGGAAACCATTGTTTTAAGAAAGCGAGCCAATTTTGCAATAACACCAAAAGACCTGCCATTCGAAGACATCCTAGCAAATGTGGCGGCCAGCATCCGCACATTACCTAAAACCACTGCGGAGGAAATACGCAATGAAACCTCTAGGATTCTACGACTTGTGAAACCTCTAAAATGCAACCTGGCATACGAGGAAAGGAAAGCTATTCGCAGCCTGAATACAGATAAGAACATACTAGTCCTGCCTGCAGATAAAGGAAACGCAACGGTAATCATAAACATGGCTGACTATGAATCAAAAATTTCCGAACTGCTGAAGCGCAATTCCACTGTTTCTATATTGCGAAAAACCAATCAACTCGTTCAAGCACTACAAACATAAGGAAACTTATCAAATCTAAGGCCTTACCACTAAGATTCACAAAACAGGCAACCCACTCAGGCCCATTGTAAGTGTAATAGATTCCCGCACATACAGCATAGCCAAATTAATACCTCACCACCTTCCTTCAGCCACGGATTGGCCAATCTAGTTCTTATGTTAAAGACTCAACTCATTTCATCAAAAAGATCAGTGACATCAATTTACTACCAAACGATATTTTGGTTAGTTTTGATGTCGTCTCATTGTTTACCAGTACCAGTGAATCAGGAATTAGAGTATCTGAAAGATGTTTTTCCGGAGGGAATCAACCACTTATTTCACCACTGTCTGACGACTACGTACTTTCAATGGCAAAATGAATTCTTTAAGCAGACAGATGGAATTGCAATGGGGAGTCCAACTTCTACATGGAAAATTTCGAACAAATGGCAGTGCGAACGGCCACAAAGAAACCTACTTGTTGGTTTCGCTATGTAGATGAAATATTTGTTGTTTGGAACCATGGAGAGGCAGAGCTGGAAAACTTCCTTAATCATCTAAACTCAATAGAACCCAGGATACAGTGTACGATGGAAGTTGAGAAGAACAACAAATTTGCATTCCTTGACGTCCTCTTAGAAAGATTACCTTCAGGTAAACTGGGACACAGAGTATATAGGAAGCCGACGATTACGGACATATACATCAACAAGGAATCCAATCACCATCTTAGGCAAAAGAGAGGAGTCATTAAAACTCTGACAGGGCAATCCGGATTTGTGAACCCAGATATCTTCAGGACGAGATGCAACACCTAAAATCAGCACTTGAAGGAAATGAGTACTCCAAACAGGAGATAAATTGAGCCATAAGACCGAAACAGCGTACAAATAATAAGAAACCAGCACAAGTAGCAGGGAGAGCTTTTCTTCCTTATATTAAAATTGTCACAGATCGCATAGGACGACCGCTAGAAACACACAACGTTAAGCCTATCTACAAGCCCACAAGAACAATTCAGCAAAGTCTAAGATCGGCCAAGGATCTTAGGGCACCTCTTGAAACGGCTGGCGTCTAGAGAATTTCCTGCTCTTGTGGATCTGTCTATGTAGGAACTAGGAACTACTAAACTCTCTATCGACACCAGGGTCAAAGAGCATAAAAGAAACTGTCACCTTATTAGTTTTACCCCCTTAAACTACCTTCAAAGTAGTTTGCAAGTCAAGTGAAGTTCCCTAAACGGTATATTTTGGTTCTGCCTATAATATCCAATAACATTTGTAACCGAGACTAAGGTGGAAATGTCCATATTTTAGCTCGATACTCTGATATTTAATTTTGTATCAATGAGCTCTATATACAGTTTGTCGTTTTTAATTTGATTCTCCAAAGGAATGTGAGTTGGTGGGAGTCACCAGTCACCTAATCTCACACCTGTTTTTGCCATATGCTTCACCCCCTCGCTCCTCATACGAAAAGTGTCAAATTAAAAACGACGGACAATACATATTTGCTAAATTTGTTTTGACTGATGTGATTGTGATTCAACTTGCTAAAATCAATAATAAATCATCAACTCTCTTTGTTACTTAATTAGCACCATGTCAAGTAGGTACTGAACATGCCCCGTACGTAATACGACGTGTGCTATTAGTAACTTTTTTTCTCGGTACAAAAATGTTCTAAAAACGAAAAATTTTCCGTATTGATAAAGGAATCAGGAGTGGCCTTATCATTTTGCCTCACATCAATTAAGACGATGTGTTTTTTCTATTGGCTTTAATGAGCTAAATTGAATTGCATTGAAGCAAAGTACGTAGGTACTACAAGGCGATTATTTTGTTTCAAGTTATTGCTAACCAGACACTTAATTACTGAATAGTTAAGTTGAAATTTATAATATGTAAAATCAAAGCAAGATATTATTGTCTTATAAGCAATAATTTTTACATGTAAATCCTCATAATAATTTTTGTAAATTTTACCTAAAATTTACCAGGATCTTTTTATGGAGATTTATCTATGTAGCAAAGTCATTTAGTTTTTCTCAAAAAAACGACTCAATTGTTATAATCCTATATAAGAATAAGAAACTCAAATAAATTTGGAAACTCTTACATAAAACGAACAACCTCAAGAGGTCGTTCCGTTTCGCGTCATAAGGTTTCTAAAGGTAGTACCGAAGCCGAACAACAATCATCTGCGAACAACCTTGAAGCGGTTTTAATAATGTCATAGGATAATTAGCATTGGTATCTATTATTTTTTTTTCGATAGGTACTGCCGAGAGCGGAGACCGATACTTAGTCACACAGTTGGTACTTGTGTGGTTCGATTGTCGATTGTTTTGATAAAAATTTTATTTGGTATATAAAAACTAAACGCGCAAACGCCGCGAGTGATAACACACGCCTTATTGCAGGTGATTTTTCGCTGCTTTGCCTTGAAACAATTAGTTTGGTTTTGCAACTAGTTTAATAATGATTTTAATAACGGTTTTGGCAACATTATCAGGTAAATAATAATGAAAAATCTCGCTTACGTGTAAAAAGATAAAAAAAAGTTTGTCCTAGTTATTTTGTGTCTGTGTCGTTCAAATGAGCTTCAGCTTCTATGTGTCGGGTCGTTTTTTTGGATCAAAATTATTATTGTTTTTTAACTTTGACAGAATTGAATAATGAGCCAGGAAGAGCCTTACGATTTGGGCATCAGGATGCTGAAAGACAGGCGTGAAAAAATCACCCTACAATCGGGCAAATACAGTGAACGTTACAAAGATACATTTTCGCACGAAGTGATGGAAGAAAAATATCCGATGAGTGCCAAGTGTCGCGAAACTTTGGAACACTATCGTAACTTGTCCAGTGATAAATCTTCAGATAGTTCTACAATTAGTGCGCGTTATAGTCCAAATTTGATGATGGGTAGTCCTAAGGCAATGTCTAGTAATGCCACTAACGATTTAAATAAGCAAGAAAATGCTTTGATTGGTTATAAACCTGTACCGGATCGTGGTAGTAAGTTACCAGTACTTTCACCCGTTACAACTCCTAAATTGAAATGGCAAAGAAAAAACAAAGAAGTTAATATTTATAGAATTAATCCTAACATTGAAACTACTGTTACTGTTCAACCCCAAAAAGTTGCCTTAAATTTAATTTTAAATGACAACCCTAGTAGTAGTAGTGATAACACTATGAGCCATTTAGACAATGTGCAAAGCATCATCTCTAAGCTAAAACAAAAAGAGAAACAAGAAGACAACCTGCGAAAATTTGACGAACTAGTAAAAAAAGTAATCAGGCAAGATCCGCCCCCTAAAAACCCAACTCCTCTAAAACCGCAACCAATAGATCAATCCCAAGACATTCTCAAGCCTGAGAAACCTTTGCTCAACCCAATGAAGCCTTCAAAGGAAATCGAAGACTTACAAGCCCGAGGCATTAGCGATATTGAAACTGACGAAGAATCAAACTTCAAACGTAACGGCAAAGAGCGAATGAGCACGGGCCATCAGAACAACAAAGCACCTAAAAAAGGACCTTCATTGAATCGTACCAGTAGTGACGTACAGGATAAAAACGTGGTAACTTTGAAGAGAAAACCTAGATTATCCAGGGATAGGAATAAGGTATACAAAATTTCAATCTACATACTTATAAAATACTGCTTGATGTATTATTATTGCTTTATGTAACTTCTATAGATAAAATAATTTCCTATATTAATAATAGTATCAATCGATACTTTATGAAATTCCTAGAGTTGCAGCTTTAACCTTTTTTAGCGGAAAACAGCCTGGGGTGCATATTATTATTGATCCTATCTTGTTGGAAATTGAGGATTTTGCAGGCGAAAATTTTTCGTTTAAATTCAATTTAGACTCGATTTTAGATGCTTAAAAATTAAATTATCTCGAGTGAGTAATTAGGATAAGATAACCTGAAAGATTAAAACTCTTATCGGGTTTTTTGTTTTACCAAGATGCGATTTTTTTTTACGTTTTACGAATTTAATTTTTTATAATTTATGTTATAATGGATTTTGAATTGTTTGCAACCTAGAAAACTTTTCCCATCATTCTCAAAATGTCCCTAATATAAGCACAAGGAGAAAGTCTAATAAAATTAACCTTCTATCATTTCTTCACTTTTGATGCTTAAAATTTCGTATCTCTCTCTGTCTTTCGTAGTTTTCGAGTAATCAGTTGAGATTTGAACGCTTGTTCAATTTTGTGTCATAATAAAATTGTACTTTCTTAGGAAGATTGTAACTTTGTTGTTCAACTGCTTTGAATTTTTAGCATGTTTGGGTCAAAACCTTCATAAAGAATTGCTCAAAATCTCATTTCTCTGCCTCTTGTAGTTTTTGAGTAAATAATTGAGACATTGTGTAACAAAGTAATTACCTTTTTAGCGTGTGTTGCTCAAAAACTTCATAAGCAATTGCTGAAAATCTCTCTGGTATAGTTTTTGAGCAATCTCAGATTTGAAGGCTAAAGAAAGGTTCAATTCAAGGTTGTTAAAACCCGGACTTTGGGCTTTCTGTGTCAAAAACCCACTCATACAGAACCCATTCTCAAGATGTTTCCTCAAAATAATTAAAGAATTTAATTGGCTTTATTTAAAGCTAAATAACATTGAAATTGGATAAAAAGTAACAGAGCTGTGATGCATAAACTGTCTCAGTGCAATTTTTGGAAAGTTTTCAATGTTCTATAAATTTAATAACTATTGAAAGTTGAAACAAATATACAATTTTGTGTAGTTAAGTAAACATAAAACCCCTACAAAAACTGAAAATTCCAATAGAAATTTTCAAAAAAGCCGGGTTTTTGCCAACCCTGAATTTTTAACATGTTTTGCTTAAAAGCCTCGCAAACAGTTTCTCAAAATTCTATATTTCCGTCTCTCGTAGTTTTTGAGTATGTATTTATTTTAGGCGATTTCGCCCCAGATTTTCATCTGCTGTTTGGTAGGCAAATGGTTAACCAATTGGTACGTGAGTGACGTATCTCAACAGTCTCATCCGAATTCAGTGGGTAGTGCGTTTGGCACATTTTTACTTTGACATGTTTATTTAGACATGAGACAGAAAGAGACGGAAAGCTACCAAACCTCCACTACCCAGTAACAAACCGCAGTCAACCGCGGTATAGCATTTGACAGACCAAAGCGCCTACCAAAGTTGTTATGACGGCATCATTCTCCCATCCACTGTTACCAGGTCAAAAAAATTAAATTCACCAGAAATTGGAATGAAAAATCACCAGATTAAAAAAAAAAAAAATCACCAGACATCTTGAAAGTTGATTTTTCAGGAAAATTCTCGCCGTACCCGTATTGCAATGTCGGTATTACAGGGCGCCATGTTTAAATTTTACAATGCCTACTTTGTCCCTTGTCAGTGTTGCCAACTACAACTTATAACAAATATTTTGTCAATCATTGAGGCTCGAATTTATACAAAAAAAAGCCCAAGTACTTATCAAATACTGTATTCCTTTTACCCGTTGAGTTACTCAGAGCTGCTCAATGTCAAAAGCTTGAACATTCCTTTTAAAAGTGCGTTAAGCTCAGAGTGCATCCCCCTTTCTTCTGATGCATCTAATTCACGGGGGGTGCAAGAAGCCCTTTTAGCTAAGGACGGTAATGTTAATATTAAAAAATAATAATAAAATCTGAATTGTGTGTCTTGGAGTGACTCCAAGGAGCTCGTTTGGTGTAACTCGATGTATAAAAGGAATACAGTAAAAAACTAAGTGAACCTTGAAGCAATCCAGGTGCCGGATTCTATTTTATGAGTCGAGTCGTCAAAACAGCGATTCTATTTTCCGATTTATCAATACCTATTACACGATAAGTCCGGAACTGTCGTATTCGATATCGAGACAATTCGATTCGACTCGAGAAATAGAATCCGGGGGCTGGACTAGGATTATGACAAGTAGAATTCTATTTTCATGACGTCACCCACGACCTATTTATCGCGTATACTACAGACGATGATCGCTGTTGCTAGGCAACCTGACGTCATGAAAGTAGAATTCTAGTGGAATTCTACTTGTCGTGATCCCAGCCCAGGTTTTAATCGATGTCGGTAATACAGATAACTGTAAGCAAAAAATTTATCAAATCAAGTAGGTCTTGGAAACAAACCAGCCATTTTAAATTAACTGTCAAAAACTACAGGGCCTACTTTGAAACGTTAAATTGCGTTAGGGTTACTAAATTTTTCGACTACCACCAAATACCCCTAAGAGGTGTGCGAAGTCCTTTATAAGGGGATAGTTTGAGGTTTCATATAGTTAATTGTCATCCACCTGTCATCCTAGCTACCTATAAAAATTTGCCCTATTGATCCTAATTATACTCCATAAATAGACTATTGAACGATGGAACATTAAATTAAACTCTTTTTTTTCTTCAGTGTTTGTGTAGCCAGAAAACAAATTATATTTTATTTTACACTTTTCAGAAATAGGATTTTATATTTTCATTTTGTTTCAAGTGCGCTATATAAATCAATACACATAATGATGTACTCAAGAAAAAAAATTCTCATGTCAAACCTTCTATTACGTGAAATCAAAAGGGTAAATGCCAATAAAGTTATAGTTCGAAATATTCACACCTTTTTGTTGAGATTGGAATATGTAAAGACTGGACTTGCAAAATATATGGACATACAAAACCAAATAGAAAATTTGGATGAGCATAATGTAGATACAGAGAATAGGGAAGAATTTGAAGATAAATGTTTTCACCTAGTTGTAGAAATAAGTTCTATAATTGACAACATAAATTTGGTTTCCGCATCAAATATGCAACAGGTCAAATCTGTGATTCCACAGCCTGTGAGGCAGAAAGTTAAATTGTTGAAAATTACTATACCGCCATTTGCCGCTCTAATAAGCAATGATAACACTCTTTCCGACATTAAAAAATTCATGTATTTAAAAACTTATTTGAAGGGTGAACCACTCAAACTCATCGAATCCCTTGAACTGTATCCACTAAAAGTTTTTGCTTTAACTGTTTAGGTAACAAACATGAAACATTCGAATGCACTTCTCAAGGATGTAGCCACTGTTCCAAAAGACATCACTCTCTTCTACAGAAACTCCAAAGTTACCAGAATTCCCCAAATGAAAACGCAAACAACCTGCAAAGTGATTCACAAAATAGAATTGATATTGCTCCTCGCTTTTCACATTAAAATAATCAAAGAATCATCAAAATGGCCCAGTCCCATTAGCACACTCCTCTCAAAAACCCCAAGCACTGCCAAATCATGATAGTACATCAAAATCCTTAAGTGTTTGGGCACTACCCATCTAAACCTTTGGTCTGTTTTGCGATTAACACAAATATTTTTTAGTGCCAAATTCTTGTGTATTTCTCTTTTGCCCGAACTTTGCGGTGTACGACTTGGAACAGCGTGTATTTGACAACACTTTTCATCCTCCAGTTGCACAACCAATACCCAGTCATCCTCATCAACATTTGGATTTCATCATAACCGTTGCTACTCCCCAACGGGCTTCGACTCAAAGCATCTACATTATTCTACATGGTTCATTTTGCATTATGATCTATACTGGATACCAAAGTCAAACTCCTGTGTCGCTAACTACCATGCTTGGAATTAAGTCTTTCTTAGTCAAGGTAGTGCTCTACAGTCTGTCACAACCTTGAAAGGTTTTCCAATAAGATATATTTTGAATTTTTGAAAGGAATTCACCACCGCTAAAGTCTCTAATTCATAAGAATGGTACTGTTGCTCTGCTTTAGCTGTAGCTCGACTGAAGTATTGTACCGGGTTCAAGGATCCGCCTGCTTGTTTCTGCAGCAAAATTCTACTAATGCCCCACTTACTGGCATCCGTGTGCTATTGTTAACACTGGACGTGTTACCAATTATTTCTCTTTCAATTTTTATTTTCACCCCAACTAAAAGTGTTGTCTTTGTTAAAGTTGTCAATGGCCTGGTAATAAGGGTGAAATTCTTGATAAACTTCCCGAAATAGCTAGTCAAACCAAAAAATCTCCTCAAGTCATGTACATTCTTTGGTGTCGGAAACTGTGTTGATTTTGTATGCACCTGGTCGAAACTCATCTTTGTCGATTTTATATCGCAAGTATTCAATTCCCCTTTGCAAAAACCAGTGTTGGTAGATCGGTGTAGTTGAAATTCCCTATACAAGTGCCAAAAATTCCCTAAATTGGTATAAAAATCCCTAGTTTCAGAATATATTCGATTTTTAGTACGGGGGCATTCGAACCTGAAACCATTTGAAACTGTCAACAAATACCTACAAGTAGTCAGTAGATGAATGTAAAATCTGAAAACAACAATTGGACAATATTGTGTTCAGTACAAAATATTTGTTTCGTATCTTTCTGTGTTTGTACGCGTTAGAGAGAGATAATCGTTCTATGCAAACAACCTGCAATAGAGATTGTTTTTCTTTTCTCTCTAACATATTGTACTAAGCGGCATAAACGATGTATTTTCATTATGATATTGTTATTTTTTATAAATAAAAAGCATAATATGTATGAAAAGTGCTAAATTATTCTCCATTTGGCACTAAAATATTACGGGAATATAAATTAAAAAATCTCTAAATCTGGCAAAAATTTCTCTTTTTCCCTAATTACTGAAAATTTCCCTGTCGTCCAAGTAGGCCAAAACTGAAGTGAACCTTAGAGAACCTGAAATCGCGTACATTACTCTCTGGAATACACCGGGAGCATTGACAAGTCCAAATGGCATTCTCAGATACTCGTACTGCCCGTCAGGGGTCACAAAAGCAGTTTTCTGAACTGAATCTTTGTAACGGGTATCTGGTGGTAGCTCGAGGCAAGGTCCAAGCTCGTAAAGTACTGGCATCCTTTTGATCGATCCAAAAGATCATCAAGACGTGGCAGAGGCAACTTTTCCTTCACTGTGTTTTGGTTTAAGGCTCTGTAATCCACACACAGGCATTTTTCTTTTTCACCAACACTATTGGACTTGCATATGGGGACTGGGATTATTGAATTATGTTGTTCTCCAGGAGATCTTCAACTATTTGACGAACTTTTTGACAGTCGATATGGTCTACTGCTGGATTCTCAACTTCTAGTCGCAACTTATCGTCCCGACTATTTCATTACCTTTCTACGGGTGAGTCGGGACGTTATGTATCGAATAAAGATTGATAATCCCACTTCAAAACCGGATAACTACTATGGCTACTGTCCAATAAGTCACTGGCCGAAAGTGAACTTCCAGGGATCTGGAAGGAGAGCTTTATAATTATTCCTATTTTTAAGTCCAGGAAGAGATAGTCCCCAGTACATCGACCTTAAAATGTTGTAACTCATGTACAGGGTGTCCAAGATTCGATGGTTTTGGGGGGTTTCGGGTATTTCTAAAGGAGTAAAAGATCTGACCCCCACTTGTCAGCCTCGATTTTCAAAAGAAATTGACTGGTGAAAACCGCATCTCGATATGGCGAGTCGTTTTTATGCTATGAGGGGTTTTTGAAAAGTTTGGAGTTTGACAGGGAGTCTATAACTTTTTGTAGCTTAAAAACGAATCGAGATGCGGGTTTCACCAATCAACTTCTTTGGAAAATCGAGGCTCGCAAGTGGGGATCAGATTTTTTTTCAACTCCTCTAGAAATACTTGAAACACGCCAAAACCATCGAATCTTGGACACCCTGTACATTCTCGTGCCTGGTCATTGTCTCTAAGGCTCTTTGAAAACAAGTTACGCCGTTAGTCACACCAAAAGGGATACGATTAAACTAGTATAGGTTTCCATCAGCTTCAAAAGCAGTGACCTGTTTTTCATCATCTCTTATAGGGTGATACGCACTTTCTAGGTCAATAGTGCTAAAAACATTAAACTTTGAGACTGCTCTGAAAGTTTTCCAGTGCCACCATTCCTTCGCTGCATTTGATGAGCTGGGATCAGTATCAAACCTTTCAAGTCTCAGGAGCTTGTCCATAATGTCGATTAAATTTTACTAATGCAAATACCTCAGAAATAAGTCTTTAATTGACAAAATTAAGCATAAGAATAACTGGACAAATAATTAATGACACAATCATAGAATGACACACAAATTCAGGTACAGAGATAATACAGATAGACATGGGTAACATACGTCCATTTGCACCACTATAATGCCCGTATTACATCTGTATATTTTTCTGTGTATTTATTCATGTAGTTCAGGGTGACAATCAAAAAACTTCAAACGCAAAATAAATCAGCATTATGAAAAACAAAATAATGTTGGCACCCTGAACTACATGAATAAATACATGGAAAAATACACAGATGTAATACGGGCATAACTTAGGGGATATTTAATCCAAGTGGAGCTTTAAATGTGACTCTCAGAAACAAAAGTCACATTCAAAAGCTCCACTTAAATTAAATATCACTTAAGTGATAGCGGTGCAAATGGCCATTAAAGGTGTATCCACCAGATACTTGCTCAAAATCTAATATCTCTGCCTCTCTTAGTTTTTAAGTAAATAATTGAGACTTCAGTGTGTTCAGTCTTCAATCTTGTGTCACAATAGAAATGACCTTTTTTGGAAAACTTGTTACTCTATCGTTTTTCGCTCAATTGCTTTGAATTTTTAGTATGTTTTGCTCAAAAGCCTCATAACCAGTCGCTCAAAATTTTGTATCTGATGTGACTCTCCTAGTTTTTGAGTAAGTAATCAAGACGTGGAAACTTACACTTTAATAAAAATTTCATGTGTGTAAAAATATGTCCGAATACGCCTCTACATATAACATTTTATCTACAACAGTAATAGTATAAAAATATCTCTATATACTCATAGATAATATTTTTCTTCACAAATTTGTAATGAAAATGAGGAATAATTATAACCCAAGTTCAAGGTTGACTATCAACATCTAGTCTTTAATATGGCAATAGTCACTTTCTACCCCCATTTTGTTTATGGTGGATTTTAAAAATTGACGATTTGGTAAGAAAATACATTAATTGTATTGTATGCTGTTAGCCTTCATAAGGGTTACCAGACTTGGGGAAATATTCCTTAGATTTAAAGAATTTATTTGTAGTAGAGAACCTAAAGTATGAAAAAGTACGATTTTTCTTTCAATGCGGCCACATGATGCGAAAATTCATGCTCCCTTATCCTCCTCCCCTTTCAAAGTATAAAATGAATTAGTCTATAGGAAACAAAATATCTGGCAACACTGGCATTCATCAGTGCGGTTGAATATCTGACTTAATCTGATCTTATGACCTTTATGATCTTTCAAGGTTTGTTAAGGAACAGATTTTTCATCTCAGAATGATTTAGTTTGAGTTAGTAATCATTTTTTTCTCATACATGATTCCCTTCTTTCTTTAGAGCAATGACAATTCCGAGTCGGGAGGACGTAGCAATTCGACGACGTCGGCCAGCAGCGGCCGAAACCGGCCCAGACTGGGCGACGAGCCCACCATCGGCAAGTACAAACTGCTCAAGACCATCGGCAAAGGCAACTTCGCCAAGGTGAAACTGGCGAAGCACGTCCCTACAGGAAAAGAGGTGGCCATCAAAATTATCGACAAGACTCAGCTCACGCCCGGATCTTTACAGAAACTATTTAGAGAAGTAATCAATATTTCTAAGAGTAGAACTACTTACTATTATTGATTTAATCTCAAATTTATAGGTAAGAATAATGAAGATGCTAGACCATCCAAACATAGTGAAGCTGTTCCAAGTGATAGAAACTGAAAAAACTTTATATCTGGTAATGGAGTACGCTTCTGGAGGTGAAGTTTTCGATTACCTGGTGCTGCACGGTAGGATGAAGGAAAAAGAGGCGCGAGCCAAATTTAGACAAATCGTTTCGGCTGTGCAGTACTGTCACCAAAAGAGAATTATTCATAGGTAAGCGATCTCTTAATATAAAATGCCAATGAACTACTTCTGTTTTGAATTGAGTGTAGGCGCAACCTTCAATAATTAATAATTTCGCCTTTGTTGCCTAATAATATGAATCATGTTTATTCATGATTCGTTTTTTTTTTTTGTATAAAAAATTATTGTGTGGTGTGGGCGTTGAATGTAATTTTTTTTTGTTTTGAATTTCAGAGACTTAAAGGCTGAAAATTTGTTGTTAGACAGCGAAATGAACATAAAAATAGCCGATTTTGGATTTTCGAACGAATTCACGCCCGGAAACAAATTAGACACGTTTTGCGGCAGTCCTCCTTATGCGGCCCCGGAACTTTTCCAAGTAAGTTTGACTTTTCTGACATCAACAATATTGATGATTCAAGAGAGCCTCTTGAGGTTCAAAAAATTCTTTAGTAGCTCAAAAGGTTCAGTTCAAGGCTCTTCTTTGGAATTTTTCATAGTTTTAGCCTTTAGAATTTGTAAATACGTCAAGAGATCCTAATGTTGGTCTGATACCTGAATAGCGATATTTGAATTACATATAATTGCGTACCTTTCTTTGTCTCGTTTGGCTCAAAATGTACATCATACTGGATTTTTCAGAGGGGTTTGGTTATTTCTTCTGGGTCATTGTTGATTTCCTTTGTATCGCAATCGTCTTCTTTAACTAGGTATCAGTTGGTCACGATATCTGGTTGCACATGAGTGGACATCTGCATGAGTTAGGAATAGTTCCTGATTTGACATGGGAAAGTCAAAATCCGTAAGCTCCTGAAGCTACCCCTATAGCAGTCTCTGTACTTTAGACCCGCTCTTACTCTGATGCACCTACGTTGAAGTTTAAAAATTTGCTTGGCTTTTGGTTTGGGGCATAACCCCAGTGTAGTATTGCCTATGCAATATTCGAGCAAAGCAGCTATGGTAAGCTGTAAGTACAGTAGAAACATTCTTTAAAAGATTTCTTATCAGAAATGTAATTTTAGAAAGCTTGGCGCTAAGGTTGTCCACATGAGTTTGCCAAATGAGTCGTGGATCGAGATAACACACCAAACTTTCACTGTGTCGTCACTAGGTAGCTCACATTCAGTGGTTTTTAATGTGAAAATAAGATTTTGAGTTTTGTTATTGTTGAGACTGAGCTTGTTAGCTAAAAACCAGTTCTGTTTGCCTGTTTTCTATTATCTCTTTAATAGATTCTGACGGGTGATATTGTTACAAGGTGGTTGTGTCGTCAGCAAATAAGATAAGTGAATGATTCACAATATCACGGGAGGCCATTGATGTAGATGATGAAAAAAAGGGGGACCAACACAGATCCTTAAGGGATGTCTGATCTTCTGCTTGCTCGAGCTCGTATTATTAAAGATTGCATACATACTATTCTCTTTCCTCCATGTAAGATCTGACAAAAACTACGCTGCTTGGATGGAAGTTGTAATGCTTAAGTTTGTTTGAGATGCAGACTTTGACAGGTCCAGGACTTTGGGTAAAAAAATTACCACTTCCACAGTAATCTGATCTTTCATAATTTCAATTAGTTTATGTATAAGACAACACAAGTGTAACCATATTTTTTGCCGCATGTTTAGCCAACCGATGTTCTGCAAATATAGAGTTATGTTTTTTTTTTTTCGAATGTGACAGGAGTATCGAACACAGGAATTCTGCTCTTAGACAAGGTCCATTTATAGTATCACCATAGTGCAATTTGCTTACTAAGGCATTTCATAATTTCAGTTTTGCCTCCCTTGGCAGAAAGTCTTTAATTCTGTATAGGCACTTCAGTGTGCTGATGTGACTGACCTGAAGTGAATAGTTCAACTGGCCGAGGTTTTTGACACTGGTGTCATTTAATCTAATGGACTAAGAATTCATTATTATTTGATCTTGCAGAGCCACTGTGAGGTCTTGAGCTTTTTTATCAAAGGTCATTGCTTGTGCTTTTGTCGCATTGATCTTCAGACCATTCCCCTGTGTCCATTCAAGTATTGCATAGTGTTAACGCAACATTATTTATAAATTTGGTTTCTTCTCATTCTTATTAAAGATTTACTTAAATGTCAATTTCGCGTAAAACATACAGGAGTGTATTTTCTACGACCCTGCGCCGATCGAGGCAGACAGTCGTTGAAGATTTCGATTTAAACACTAGATAAATGGTGCTTCATATGCACGTTGCCAACCCAGGTGAGTGGAAATATCTTTTGTGTGTTTCGACAACCCTATGGTATCATTTTCATTTCTATTTGTTTGCGCGATTTTCCAGTCGCAGTCCAGTTTACTGAATTTCAAATACTATTGCGTAAACGCATAGTTTAACTCTTAACGGCAATATGGCTATTCTCCGGGTGGAAACTTAACATGATTTGTATATCATCAGCATAGTAATGGAATCTCCTGAATTTAATGCTACTTGGAGGTCTACCGGGAATAAATTGAATAGGAGTGGTCCCAAAAATGATCCTTGAGGTACACTCCTTTCCACTGTTCCTGAGCATGAAAAGCTACGATGCTCTTCAATTCGACATGTTGTTGCCTCTGTGATAAGTATTGTCCATTAGACATTGGACCCCATGGATCATATTTCCGAATTTTCTCGAATATTACATAGACTCGATACATTTTAAGCATAACACCAGTCAGAAATACATCTTTATCAGTGACATTGCAAGGGGTTAAAATTCGCTGATGACTTTAAGTTGTGGAGGGTATAGAGGACCAAGAACTTTTGCAAGCAGATCTGGATGGCTTGGGTGGGTGGTGTGTCAATAATAAGCTACAGTTGAATGTGGATAAGTGCTGTTTTATTAGCTTTTTCCGTAAAGCATGTAGGGTGGAGACTGTTTACTTAATTGATAATGAAGGAGTTGCATTATGTGTCTAGGGTTAAGAATTTAGGAGTGATTCTGGATGAAAAGTTATCATTTATTGAACATATTAATACAATCTCAGTAAAGGGTTCAAAGATGCTAGGCTTTGTTCTGAGAAATTGGAAATATTTTACAGTGGAGTTTACTAGACTGGCATATTGCTCTCTGGTTAGGTCCACCTTGGAGTACTTACTGTTCAGTAGTATGGTCACGAGGGACGTAGCAATAGGGCGTGCAAGTGGTACATTCAAGAAAATAAAAAAAATCATATTACGCCCGCCCAACCAATCATTCTTTGCTTTGACGATTTGTAACCAGAACAGAAAACTGTAATATCGATCTCTACAGATAGCTTTTCAGTCAGCCCTCCGAGTCACAGTACTCGTGTCAATATTGTCAATTGTCATTCTCAATCGTGGTATTTCATGAGTCACATGAGTGAATTCGCTTTGGGATGTGATGTGGGAATTGTAGGATTTTGTTGATGAAAACAGTAAATCTATTACGTAAGGAGTCCGGAAAGTAGTGTTTTTTTGGACGAGTAGACAAGATTCCAGAATTCAGGGCGAGGCGTAGCCGAGTCCTGGCCGGAAAGCACATACTTCCCAGACTAGGCCGGAAAGTAATCTCTTCCTGGCCGATCAATAAAAAAAACATACTTTCCCAAGAAAAACGCGTCCGGAAAGTATGTACTTTCAGAACGGTTACCGAGCTAAAAATCTTGTATAAAATATTTCAGGTACTTGTTACAAAAATAGCTATTCTCTGTTAGCCCTTCAAAGAATTTTTGTCAAGCGCCATTTTGCATTTGGCTGTGATGGTTAGGCCCATTTTACATTGGACGTAACGTAACGGTGAGTCCTAAGCAGGCGCACATCTATTTGCAACAAATATGTCACCGAAAACGCAACGTAAGAGATGTCCAACTCTCATCTTCTCTTACGAAGGCCCTTGACATGTCCAACAATACCATTTGCCTTGGCCCTGGGCTGTCATACTGTATTATTTGATTGTGCACAATAAATTTTAATGTTGGAAGAATGTTTATAGGCCGAAGGTTCGTAAGCCTTGCCGGCAAAATTGTAGTCATTTTCCATATGGTGGAAATATTTCCTGTATACATTGATGTGTTAATAACATGACAGGGTTCTCCCTGGCAATATAAGAAGCATAGTTTAAGTATGGATAAATTAATATTAACCAATACCATAGCGTAAGTTTTAATGGTACTAAAAATCGATTGGAGGTCACTATTGTGTCGACTAGTTGAAATGTAAATTCTTGTCTTTCCTGATATGATCTATAGAAGATGTCTATATGTGTATAAGGTCTATGTACTACACTAGTTGCATATGTATATCTTCCTCTATAAAAAGTAAAAAGTATAAAGTAGGTATAAGGAAAATGGATAAAGTTGAATACATTTATACAAACCAGAGATACAATAGTAGGAGCTCAGACAAGAACTTTAATATTTTGCTTGACAAGTTACTTAAATTTATAATCAGCAGGAGTTTTAGTATACATCTTTGATATTTGGTACCTAAATATATGGGAGGAGTTATTGGTAATTTATGTCTAAGCTCCAAGTTATGGGCATCCTACCGAAACTAAATTTTAACATACAAATAGTCAGGACATCTTTCACAAATCAATTTGTTAAACAGAACCAAACTATACAGTGGGCGTCTTTCATTCATTCTTAGCCATTTAATTTTGCATAACTTGGCACTCACACCCCCCTCTCACGGCCTTTGATACCACCTACCAACTTGACTGATTGTGTCTCGATACAAAAATTACCATATTGTTAATAGTCACTGGTATGACATAAGGACAACAACAGCCAGTCACAACCAATGGCCAGTGACTTTATAGAAAACAACTTATTCCATTGTTGCCAGCCTAAATGCAAAGTTGACAACATTCACAATTCAATCTATTAGGAACCTTACCAGTCCTAAGAGATGTATTCAGAAGATTCAGAATAACATGACCAATGGTTTCAAATATGGGCCTAAGAATCTTAGCATTACTATCCTATAGTGTATTTTTTCTCAAGTGGATTTTAACATTGAAAACTTCGCAATATAAACAATACATCTCGGCCCTGATTGGTTGCAAAATGTCCCTGCAGGTTGGAATCAGTTTTAGTGCAAATGGCATCTTGCGACCAATAAGTGGCATTGTTTATGTTTCAAAGTTGTCAATATCTATATTTATTTTGAGAAAAAATACAGTTTAGTCACAGATTTATGGCGTTTCCGATTGGTAGATCTAGTGCGGAACTAGTGCAATTTTTCCTATTTCTGTCTTTTTCTTCTACAGGTCGATTAAAGGGATGCAAATACACTCAGGGCGCACTGAATCTACCAATCGGAAACGCCATTAGTTTCACATGATGGGCAAATGTCAATTTCCTTTAAATATGGAGTAACCGCTTTTACGCTTAGACCAATAAGTCTACTGA